AAAGAAAATATAATTTCTTTTTCAATTTTTATAAAACGAATTTCATAAAGAATAATGCAACAACATTACATTACTATCAGTATTTTACACACTTGTTTGCGCCTCCAACTATGAACTTGCAACTGCCGCCATATGTTTATATGTAGTAAAGTAAATGCATTTCAGACATTAGCAGAAAAAAATCTTAGATAATAGATAATACGATTATAGATCTGACCGATAAGTATGATTAGAGATCTGACTTTTCACGTTTAGTTTTTATACTTAAAATTTATTTAAACACAATTATAACAATAACTTAGCAATAATATATAACTGAGAAAAATAAATTTTAAGAAACAAATCTAATATTATATTTATAATAAGTATAATAAGTATTTTTATATTTTTAGTTAGAATTTAGTTATTTTTAAGGAACTGAAAAAAATGCAATTTCTATTTCTCATTTTCTTTTTTGTATAAAGAAGGTGTAAATGTTGACAACAGTGAATCAAGTATTATGGAAATTATACAATCTATAACTTTGATTTTTTTTATTTACAATTTAATAATTTTAATGCGCATATGACTATCGATGTATCGAATATTATAATCGATATATCTCTAGTTCTATAGTTAATCTTTCGAGCTTTTTAAAATTAATATATCAAACATGGCCTCCTGAAATACAAAACATGACTCAATAAAAACGAAGCAGAATAAGCAAGTTGTTACTGACTCAATACCATACATAATTTTGCATTGTACTGTGTGCTCTTTCGTAGGCTACATTTACTTGTACTTCTTGAATTCGTGAAATTTAAGCAATAATGGATGAGTTTGCATATATTTATAATTTGAAATGTGTAGAAAAAGTTCAATTTAAAAACTTTATTTATAATAAATTATTGCCTTATGCGGACGATTTAGAGGTAGAATCAGACATTTTATTAGCTGAAATTAAAGCGAATTTAGGACGATCTGTTTTGTGTAATGAAGTATGGCCAAGTTGCTATGTAGGGGTTAATAATCTATACCAGTGAGTATATATTTTTATCCTACTTCATTAGTTAAAAAAAGAATTTGGTTTTAATGTGAATGTACATTTGTTACAGTTATATGAGGATATATGGATTAAAATTTTCCAAGGAAGATCATATCTTGCTTATAAAGTTATTATTTGAAGTAGTTACAGCTTCAGAAATACCATCAGTTTGTACATACAAATGTCTTTTTGCATTACTTATATTATTAAAGTAAGTTAATTTAAGATTCACATAAAGTCTTATGTGAAATTATAACTTACTGCAAAAACTAGATTTATTATTGTTTTAATGTTCATAGAAAAAAAAAATTAATATCTCCCGATGAGTTGGAACTCCCTTGGCAACCTCTTTATAAGATGGTTCTTCGTATAATGGATTTACAAAGCGACATTAGAGAAATGTACCGCCTTTCCTTTTTTTATATGGATGTAGTACAATCACTTATACTTCGTGCAAAAGCTTATTTCCCTGTAAGTGAATATTTTTTTAAAATGAAGTAAAAAATTAAACAAAGGAATCAAACTTAATTTATTATGTTAGTTGAGTGCAACACAGGAAATATTAGATGAATTGAGACCATCTCTATGCCCTTTTACTCTTTCAACAATGTCTAAAAGTGTACAACTATTACGGTGGTTCTTACCAGTACAATTACCTCCAGAACATCTTTCAATTGGATATCAACTATGGTTTGAAGAATTTATGGCATTATGGGAAGTTTGTCACAATGCACCAAAATGGGAGCATAAAATGATGGAGTTAATGGCAGCATTAGCTAATTACAATATAGGATACATTAATTGGGAACCTTATATTCCATTAATGTTCACTAGATTTATACGAAGCTTAAAGTTACCAATATCATATAATAAAACAGAAAGGGGTAAATCTCATGAAATAGATGCATCTTCCATAGGAGTATGGATAGTAGCAGTTTTGGTAAGACTTTACAGTATACAATGAAATATATTGGAGGAAATATCATTTTATATACATTAGTGTAATATTTTTAGGGGAATGGTTCAAGTGCCCAAACATATCTCGAAAAATTTTTAAAAACTATTGAAACATATTTTCATCCTGCCAATAATGGTTATTGGTTGGGAATATTAAAGGAAATTCTTGTGAAGCTTTCCTTTTATTTCATTACACGTTTGTACAAGTATGAATCAATTATAATTTTTAAAATGCATTGTTTTGGGATATTAATATTCTATAAAATTTTGTAATGTGTATTTTATTTGTACTGTAGGGAACGGAATGCTAAGCCAACTTGGGAAACTCCTGTTCCTGAAGAGTATAAATTAACTGACAGTGATGTTGATGCATTTGTCAAAAGCATGATGCCAGTAACTATGACAGCCATATTTAATAAATTAAGTGTGAATGATGCTTCTCAAGTATTACAATATCTTGCTACTATGAGACCCAATTTAGTTATTCCATATGTTTTGGATAAAGTATCTTCTACATTGGATTCACTTACAACAGAATCACATAAATTGATTTCTACATTAAGCTGTATGGAAGCTATAGCTAGACCAATGGCAGAGGGATCTAGAAATGTAAATAAAGGTGTGAATTGCTTTCAGCACTATACACTGATGTAACAAGTTATTTTGCATATTTATGAAGTATTGTTTTATTACAGGCTACGTGTATCCAGAAGGACCAACACATGTTTTACCGTTATTATCTTTACTTTTACCTAACATTGAACCAAATAATCCAGAAAAGTGCTTTCTTACTTTTCGTCTTATCTCAGTTTATGCTTCTTTCATACCTATTGTGGATTCTTCTAAATCAATCACAACAATAGACGAAGAAGAAAGAGTTAATTATGAAATAGCTTTTGGATTTCAAGATTTTGTTTTACAATTTTTAGACAAAATATTCTCTTTTATAGACTATAGTTCTTTAGAATTTGTTAGACTGGAAAATTCTACTGGGGGCGAGAAAAGTAAACTGGAAAAGGTCACAGAAACTGTATTATATGATGTGTGTATGATTCTGCTAATGCAGATTAATGATACAATATTTGAGGTTGCTTTAGACAAATTATGTACGTTTATAACTGAACGTATACTAGAAATTAAAGTTGCCGGGCAACTGGCCGCCGGCTTGTGCCGTGTATTTGCCCGAGTTAATGGCAAAGAAACTTTACGTGCAATATTACCTGTACTTTCAGAAACTATCTTAGATATTACTGGTGAAAGTAACGACATTGTTAAGGAAGAAAATTTGGATGATCGTCTTTTACATGCAATGTTACTCTTATCTGCAATTATTGATACACCTGGAAATAACTTGTTACCACATATAGATACATTGATGACTGTTCTTAATCGTGTACTTATTTTAAAATCAAGAGAAGGAAATAATTTGGCGTGCATATTATTGAAAACTATTCTTCACTCATTATCCACTATGATACCCTACCACTTTGAATCTACTAATGGGATGAGATATTGGGGTCAAACTGTGAATATTGATAGTTTAAGTGTTAAATGGTACATTCCCAGTAAGAAAGAAATAGCTGTAATAAATCAAATGTTCTTAAAATACATATTGCCTGAAATAAATAAATTAGAAGAATATTGTAAAGACTGGACCATATTAACAAGGTTAGTTATTAATTACTTTTACAATATTTAATGCAGTTTATTAGGGATCAATGAGATAAAATTATTATATTCCAGAGAGGAGTTGCTGACTAGCTTAAATATTCTAGACAGCATTCTCCAAGGTTGTGCATCTGTTTTACCTATGTGGGAAGAAAAAGCATTAAATTTAGTAAAATCGTCTTTGAAGTGCCTACCTTTTATTCCAACACTTGGCATGAAAGAAGAAATATCAATGCCCGATGGTAGTAATGTCAAACGTCATATTACAATACTTCTGAGTAAACTGCAAAATGTAATGCTTAAGAATACAGAAAGTGATCCAAAAAGCTTATTTATTTTAACAAAGGTATTTACTTTAATAAAAAAAGTTAGCATAATAACTTAATAAAAACGATTAAACAAAATCAACTTTCTTTATTCTAGATTTGGTGTAACCTTTTGTTGGGACAAGCTTCTTCTTTTGATGCTGCTGCAATAAGACACAAAACCGTAGCTAGTGTACGCAGAATGATGAAGGATATGTTAGTAAGAGAGAAGGGAATAATTGGATGTTTTATATTGTTACGTGCAGAAACACAACACGCAACCCGTTTATATTCACAGAGCTTTAATTTAACTGAAACTCATAAGGAAATAATGTTAAAACTGTTTGAATTAGCTACCAGCAGGTATACTAATGTGCGATGGCAAGCTCAACGTAC